AGGCGAATACAATTTACTTACATGTAACTGCTGAATGGAGACAAGAGGATTCCAAGCTTTTTTAATAGGATAGGAAAAAAAAGTGAAAAATGTAAGGACAGTAAAAGTGGCTGGGGTAGAGAGTGTGTAAGGGGGTGCAGCAGATAATTAGGTCAGAGGTAGGAAAGAATGCTGTGGAAAGGAATTTCCATACCAGGTTAAATAGTTTCACATTTATTTGGTAAGTCAGTGGTTCTCAGTTTGGGAGTTCATGAATTCTATCTAGTGGTCTGGGAAGGAATCTAAATACTTTTGTTAGTATTTATATAAGTATAAAAAAGAAGTAGGTATTTACACAAAATAAAAATGTTTAGCTTTGCATCAAGATGTTATTTAAAAGGTACTAATTATTAATCCACTTTGAGAATTAAAATATTTTAAATTAAATAACATCTTTTAGAAACTGCAAACTGTATTGACTCATTGGAGCGGGCAGATTTTAGCTTTAAGAATTCATGTGGAGATCAAGGGAGAAAGGATGAATGAAATGAATCTCATGTTTCACCTTCCTGATCAACGGATGAGAGAGTGTCAGACCAACAAACCACCAACACACAGATACTCTACTAGATTGGAATAAAGGACATTCAATACACAACTTCGTAACCCACTCCTGGAGATTAGGACTGAGTTTATCAATTCAGTGGGTTTTTAGGAGAGCATAAAATAAAGAGAAAATCTTGGTGAATGCAAATACATCACAGATAAAAGGATATTACAGCTAAATGCAATGTGTCATCCTGGATAGATCCCAGATTGGAAGTGGGGATGGGTGTTAAAATGGACATCATGGGTAATAAAGTAACTGGTACCACTGAGTACTCACTATCTTCTAGGTCTTGGGCAAAGAGCTTTGCCTCTATAACTAGGTCTGATTCTTACGAAAATCCTGTTTATTGACAAATTTTAATGACAGTCCAACTTTACTATTTTTACTAGAACATGGAGATTTAATCCTCTACATAAGGTCCCACATTTTGGGAGCTATGGAACCTATATTTGACTCCAAAACCTGTGTTCTGAAACAAGAATGTGTATTTTGTTGTAGAAATATTCAAATCCTAAAGAATATTTAGCTAACTCCTCATTAGCTGGATATTATAATTTGAATAGCTTATTTTGGAATTTCTTTAAACTTAAATCTCATGTAATGGGTTTACATGCTGTTCTCCCCCAGTTTTTCCCCTTAAAGCATGTCATAGTTTTCATTCATTCAGTTCCATTTATTGGAAAACTGCTGTACCTGTAAACTCCCAACTGATAAGGCACATTGTTGCAAAGTTCTTGGGGAGCAGGACTAGAGACAAATCTAAGGATCCTGACAAAATACATATCTTGTGAAACTTGTTTCTCTTTTCCTCTCCTATTCCAGAACAGTCACTCATTTCAAAGTCCAGTTGGCTTCCTTTTCAACTCCTGCTCTTGTTTATCACGGCTTCTTTTAAAGAAACAGATCTTTAAAAATGAATTCCTTATAACATATCTGAGGAATATGAACTTGTACCTCTGAATCATGCTGCGTTGTAAACCCAAATCATACAAAGTGATGTCCAAAGTTACATCAACAAAAACTACAATTAAAAAAGGTGAATTTCTTTTAGTGAAAAGCCTCATCATGTTGAGAAAAAACTATTTGGGAAGTCATTCTTCTTACCTAAGTATTCCTAATAATTCATATAGCACAAGAGGCCTTGATGAAAACCTCGGCAAGATTCTTAAACAGGGGCCTCCCTGGTGGCATAAGGGGTTAAGTATCAACACTGTGAAGCTATCTGCAGCCACTGCAGCACAAGTTCGATCCCCAGCCAGGAAGCTGACCCACATGGAGCAGCAGACCTCTCCTATCTCACCTACTGCTCCCCCAGAGCTATTTTCTTTTAACTCATTATGGAAAAGCTTAATCGAAACATGAATAAAAGAACAACCTATGTGGGTTCATAGACAAACATTTCTGAAATGGAAAACAGATATCTTGACTCTAACAATATGATACTTTCCATAAATTCAGCAGAAATTTTTATCAAGAGGTTAAAAATGATGACCAGTGAAAAATCAGAGCCAAGCATTGTCTGCTGGTTGAGTAAGTCATGCTTTCACCAAGGCTTTTTCCATTTCTTATAGGAAACTAGTTTACAAAAACTACTTATATAAACTATTGCATCTGCTCAGTTAGGCCTCATTCCAGGCTTCCAGAAATGGTGACATTAGTGATAGGCACTGAGAAAAATGCTAACTCCTCCATGGGGAAGAGTGGACCAGAGGACATGGGACAAGGAGTGGAGTGGGATTAAGTGGGATGAACCAGAAGTCCCTCCAGAGAGACTCAGGAACCTGTCAGTTGTATTGATTTGATAGTAAATGAGGAACAGTGAATATTTTAGCTAAATTTGTTTTCACACAGTCCAAATAAAATTTACCAATTATTTGAACAAAATCATTATTTTAGAAAACTAATCAGTGCAACCACTTTGGAAAAATCTTCCTGATCCTCAAAAGATTAAACATAGTTACCATATGACCCAGTAATGGTATTTTTAGCGAAATGCCCTGAGGCCTCCCTGGTGGTGCAAGGGTTAAAGTCTCATTGCTTTCAAGCTATTGCCAGCCAGTAAAGCATGAGTTCAATCCCCAGCCAAGGAGATAAGCCACATATGGTGCAGCAGACCTCTCCTGTCTCCCCGCTGCTCCCCTTACTACTGTATTTCAGTAGATCTACCTGTTCTGCTCCCCACTCTGTCTCTGGTGAATCCTCTTGCCCTCTGCACCTTTGGCCTATATCCCAGCTCTTGTATGCATAAATAAATATTTACCAAAAAAAAAAAAATATATATATATATATATATATGCCCTGTAAAAATTTTTATAGACATTTGTAGCAGTTTATTCTTAATAGCCAGAAAGCACAAACGACCCAAATGTTCACCACCTGATGAGCAGATAAAATATTGTATGTCATATTATGAAATAAAAAGGAATGAATCACAGTAATTTGTATCAGTACAGTAATTTGTATCAGTACAGTGTCAGTTGAAAACATGACTCTAAGTCAATGAAGCGTGTCACAAAAGACCACGTATATCATGTTCCATTTACATGAAATGTAGAGCGCAGGTAAATCTCTATATAGAATTCAGTGGTTGCCTAGGAGTGGGGCTAGGAAGTCGGAGGATGACAGCTAAAGTATGGGTTTCTTGGAGGGGAGGGTAATGAAAATGTTCCTAAATTTGTAGTGTTGAGTCACATCTGCATTAATAGGAGATCGCTGCAATTTACAATTTAAATGGGTGAATTGTATGTTAGCTAGATCTCAAAGCTAGTAGCCAAAACCAGAAAGCTTCACTCTTAACAGAGGCATAGAAGCTTTTTGTTTTCTAAAAACAAGATAAGGAAAATTATTTTTAAATTAGGGATCATTTCCCTTGTCTTCTACTTTCTTCACTTTTTGCATCAATGTAGGCTTTAGACCGATTTTTAATGCAAAATTTATCTTTGTATTTCATAGGACTCTGAGATTATTAATAATTCATGGTTATAGCTTTCTACACAGTTGAGTTCTTAAGTAGATGCCAGAAAAATAAAAGTTCTAGATTCATATTATACATCATCTATGAGTGAGCAACAGCATGGAATAATACAGAAAATACAAGCTATAGAATCCAGGAAAGCTGGAATTGAGACTTGACCCTGTTACTATCTGGTTGATCTTAAAAAAGGTAAACTAATTTTTGTGTGATTCAGTTTTATAGACTGAAAACCAACCCCATTCCATAATAAGAAAAATTGCATATTATTGTAGATCACAAGAGATAATAGATTCATTCATTATTCAGTCCCTTAAAGTTATATTAAGGATTATCCTGGGGACTCAAAGACCCTTGGAGAGATTGATATAGGTCAGTTCCAGAGGCTTTGAGAGCAGATAGGAAAGTCACCTGATCCATTTTAAGAAGTTAAAAAAAGCAACCTCTCAGGACAATCAGCTTTGGCTGACTCATTATATGGGAAGCGTTAGGGAGGCAAGAAAACAAGGTGGTGGGGTTAGAGTTTAAGGAGTAGCTAGACAACGGCTCAAAGTGCACTTGAGCCAGATGCTTAAGGAATTCAGGCAGTCAGATATGATTAAAGCAGTGATTGGCAAACTTGTGGTCACCAGACCATTACTATTAACGTCTCATGCAAAATTCTTAGTTTACACCACAGACCTACTAATTCACAAACTCTGGGGATGAGGTTAGCCACCTGGGTTCTAATAAACCATCTCAGATATTGTTATGCTTGGTCAAGCTTGAGAAACACTGGACAAGAGCCTTGGGTACTAGCAGTAAGAGAGGTGTCTACACTAGTTGAATATCTGTACAGTTTACAAAGCAGTTTTATCTGTACATTTATAAGCTGCATAAGTTATTTACCACTTTAGACAATGTACTAGAATACACAAAAAAGTTCAAAGCAAAACTGTCATTTCACTACATATACATATTGTTAAGGTTTTGGTGAATTCTATAAATAGATGTCTTCTGCAATATTGGATCAAAATGTACATTTTTTGTTTTCAATTTTTATTCACTGAATATTTTATATTTTCCCATGGATTTTGAATTCTATCAATGCTAAAAACTTATGAAAGATATTTTTAATGAATGCAAAATATATCATCATGTGGCAAGGTCATAATTTAATTTAAATTTAAAATGAAAAACATTTTACATAAATTTTTTTTGGCATCTCGAATTTTCCTCTAGTAGATTTCTAGTGGAGTCATTGTGCTGAGTAGCTTCTATTTGTGTCTCTTGGGTAATAGACCCATCTTCTCTGACTATGGGCTCACAGTTTTCTATATTGGAGCAGTTATCAACCCCATTCCTTTGATCATCTGACCACATAGAATAGCTCAGAAACAGTAATATAACTCAGATTCTGCCAATCAACTTAACAACGCAGGTTGCCTGGAAACCACTTACCTTCCCTCCTGAGTACAAAGACACCGGCCAGCTGTAGGAAGTAATGAAATTAACTCAAAGAGCGGCACAGAGAGATCAAGAAAACCCACATTTTAAAAAGTATCTTAGTTTACTTTTCCAAAAACAAAAATCTTAAAAAAAATCCAGGTCAAGTTGGATTTATTAGTCCTGGCTAATTGCTTGAGCCTGAAAGGGTGAGTGTGACTGCATCTATACAAACCAGAGAACACTAAACCTAGACATAGTTGGGGTCCCCCCCCCATTTGGAACATATTATATTTCTCCAATTATCTAGATTTTCTTTCATAATATGCAGTCATATTTTGTAACTCTTCATAGAAGAGGCGCACATTCCTTATATTTTCTCAGACATATCACTTTTGGTTGTTTTTTATAAAGAACATTCTCACTGTTTAGATTTGTTACTGCTGTTGCAAATGACCACACACTCAGTGATTCAGAACAATGAAAATATACTTTCTTACCTTTCTGCTGCTCAGTAGTCCAAAAAGTGTCTCACTGGACAGGAAGCAAAAGGTCAGCAGGCTGTGTTCCTTCTGGAGGCTCCAACGGAGTTTCTCAAAATGTCGTCTTCTCTGCTTCTGATTCGTCAGACTCCTTCCCTATTTAAGGATTCTTATGTTCACATTGGGTCCACCTGGATAATGTCCTTATTTTAAGGTCTGCTGATTAGCAAAATTATTCCACCTGCTTCTTTCATTCTCATTCACCATGTAACATAGCATCCTCCTATGTTATGTTAGGAATATATAGGAGGATGTTATGTTACAAACTATGTTATGTTTGGGGTTAGGATGTGATTTTCTTTTTTTTTTAAAGATTTACTTATTCATACAAAAGCTGGGGTACAGCCAGAAGCACGGGAGGGTGAGAGAATTCACTAGAGACAGAGCAGGGAGCAGAACAGGCAGACTGAGGGGAGCAGTGGGCGAGGCAGGTTTGCCTCACCATGTGGGAATCTCCCTGACCAGCTGGGAATCGAACACAGAGGCTGTGGACTGCTTCACAGCATGGCGCTCAATCCCCTGTGCCACTGGGGAGGCCCCAGGATGTGAATTTCTTTGGGGGACTATTATTGGACCTACTGCACCTTAAATTATACATATCAATTGGCTACTGATTTATATATATATATATATATAAATATATATGTCTGTTTTATGTATATGTGTGTGTATGTGTGTATATAATTTTTCTGCTTTTATGGTAAAACTTCCCAAACAATTGTGCCTCTAAAATTCTCTCTTCACATTGTCTTTTGGATGGATTGCAATTATGGTTTCATTTCCACCATTTTCCCAAACTCAAGGATTAACACTCAGTTCTCATCAGGGGAGGCTCATTGATAGTCATGAAAGCTCAATGTCTTTGCAAAGTGGAGGTGTATTTTTTGATAATGCCACAGGCAGATGAAGGGTGGAATAGGGGATCCTCAATGTCATTGTATGCCCCAAACCCTTTCCAAAAAAGTTCCATAGCTCCATTACTCCTTAGAGCCTCAGTCTTCCCTGAATCCTTTGTAGGTAGATGGCCTATGAGGGAAGAAAAAGTGGAACAAGATTTACTTTTCTCAAAGGAGTTAGTGCTAGAGATAATATACCACAAACTTCCCACATTTCATTTGGTATAATTCCCTACCTAACTACTAACTGGACAGATATTGTATCTGTGTGGTCAGGAGGAAAATGGTGGATTCTGGGAACATATGGCATTGTGTATGCTGCATAACCAGCTGGTTATTCCCTACTTGGGGCTTCACTGTCTCTGAGACTGACCTGCATAGTGCCTGGAAAACTTAACCAGGCACAGAACCAATATAATTTGCACCAAATTTAGGAAATTTGTGATGACTTTGTGCTGTACAATTCTTTTTCTCCCCCAAAACTTTATTTTCCATTTTTCTTTAATAGTGCTCTGTTCTTCCACTACTGATTTTTTTTTAAACTTCTCTAGTAACTGTGGCAACATTTTGCTATTTTCTACATGTTCTTTGGAATCCATATTCCATTATGCATGTATACGTATACATTTGAAGGAATCACTAATTCCTTCAAATGGTTACCTATTTTGATAAAAGAACTTAAATCTCTACATTTTGCTGCATACCTCACTAGAGGATGAAAAACATTTCCCTTTGATTCACATCAAAAGGCCAGAGTGGCTGTTAGCACTTTCCTTAACAAGAACTGCTTGTTTTTGCAACTCCAAATCCTTAGTACTTTTTGTTCTCAGTTTTGGCCACAGAGAATGTGCTATTCTATAGAACAGCAAATTCTATTGCATTTAATATTAATAATACTAGTGAAATCAGATACAATTTGTTGACATATTTCCTATATGTCAACTATAGTACTATAGTAAGGATTTGTATTTTATTTAATATATAAAATAGAAAGTTCTTTTCCCCAAATTTCAAAGAAAACGCTACTTCTCTACCTTTAATGTGCCAAATTTCATTTTATTCAATCTCGATATTTATATAAATTTTTTTTCTGATTCCTTTTTCTTGACTTCTTTCCTTGACTTTTTTTTTCCCCCAGCATCTGAGCCTATCAAAACCCTTTTCATAATGATGCTAGCTAATATGGAGCATGTGTGAATTATAGGTCAAAGTGTTAAGTATTTTATAAGAATTGCCATTTTTTTTTAAAGATTTATTTATTTATACAAGCACTGGGTACAGTCACAAGTGCGGGCGGGCGAGAGAACCCACCAGAGCCATAGCAGAGAGCAGAACAGGCAGACTGATGAAATACACTGCTGAGGGGAGCAGCGGGCATGGCAGAAGAGGTCTGTGTGCCATGTGGGATCCTCGCCTCTGGCCGGGGATTGAACGGGCGCTGCAGAGGCTGCGGGCAGCTTTGCAACCCAGCACTTAACTGCTGCGCCATCCGGGAGGCCCAAGAATTGCCATATTTAATACTACTAATATTTAATGCTGAATCTTAAGTATTTTAAACAAGATCTTGGTACTCTTCACCGCTATTTTACAGAGGAGGAATCAGAGGCGCAGAAATACTTTGAGACCAAGTGGTTTCACAAGTGAGGGATCAAGAACATGATGGAGAAGCAGAGCCCACAGGTAAGCTCCTGCCCAGGTGGGAGTAGTCGCTCCCGGTTGGTGAGGTGCTCTCATTGGGGGCTGCCTTCCTGGCAGCCTATTGCTCTGCTCAAGTCCTTGTTCCTACTTTTATAGGCATGATTCTCTGTACCTATTCTTCTTCATCAATTTTATACAATGAAATTTATTAAAAGTAAACTTGAGAAGGGGCTTTAAAAATAATTTTGTGTATGTTACATATTATTTTATAAACCATTGTGCCCAAATAGTTTCTCTTTACTTCTGAATTTGCATCATTTCTATGGTAAAATTAGGGTTAGGGTTGCTTTTTATGAGGTCACCCACAGCTGTGTTTAAGTTTCTGCCCTTTTATTCTTTTAGCAAACTTTTACTTAGATAAAATTCTGGCATTTAGGCATCAAAATAAATTCAGTCTACTTCAGTTCTACAGATGTTTATCTTTAATAGAAGGCAAATAAGGAAAATGTTTTAAGAAACATTTTGAAGTCAAAATTCAATTACTACAGATAATATGCATAAGTAAATACACATAATAAAGAAAAAGATAATTAAAAACCAACATGTGCACACCCATATCTGGGTGAGCTTATAATCCATGAATATATAACCTGTGTCCTAGCAGGTAATAAGCACAAAAATTGTCTCATTTCCTTCTTGTCTAATCAAACTCTTGTAAACTCTGTAGTCATGAGATTATATACAAGTCATTGTAAATCAAGTGAAGTAATATAGGCTTTAAGGAACTTGATCCAGAAAATCTCCTGGCTTTTCTATGAACCACATTCAATAAATTTTGGCCATTCAAATTTATACTATTCATGTGTGCAGATGAAAACTCATGAAGTGATACTTTCCGGTATCACTGTTGGAGAAAAAGTTCCTGTTTAATAATGATTGAAGAAAATTCAAAAGATTGGGGGTATGTTGAAATTTCCATTAATAAAATATTCTAAAAATGTTTGTTGGACTTTACTATAAGGAATGTAGATTGCATTCTTATTTGAATACCAATGTTGACCTCAATCCAATCACACTTGTCAACTTTGAAAGTGAAGAGTGTAAAACGCCCTGGATTTTCATGGTGACTTAACTCTGCTGACCCTTTTCATCAGTTCTTATTTTTGAGGATTTGTAGTTCAAAGAAAAGTCCACAGTTTAGCCCATTACAAAGTAGCATATGTTCAAACCCATGTGAACTACATCAAACATTAACCTAGTTTTAGTGGGTTTCTTTTGTTTCCTAATGAATGCAGGTATTTAGTGAGTGTTTCCTAAATTTTTATCTTTTCCCTTCCAGTTTGCTTGCTGAATGATCTACATATCCATATACTATTCAAAAAATATTTTAAAAGCTTTAAGAATACATGCAAAATCAAGGGGAGAAAAAGTTATCTAAATATGCAAATAAACACCATCTCACCATTAGTGCTGCTACCTGCCAATAAATTCCAAAAGCTTGCCCTCCCTTTTCTCAGAATATTTTAATCAAGTCAATGAGAGTAAATTGTTATCAGAGTAAATTGTAGCAATATCATCAGCAGCTTATACAATTCTTCTATTCTTTAGTCTACTCTTCAGATCTGTGGGTGTTTCATGTTTGCCTATGTTTATTAGCACACATACTATCTGCATAGATTTTAAAAAGTGAATATTTAATTCACCTATGGTTGAAAAAATAGCATGGAATCTTCAGCTTTATAGTCTTAATTGTGGCTTTCAATCTGTTCTGCTGACCCTACCCGCAGCATTGTAATGAAGATATTTTCTAGTTTGTCATGAAAGCGTGGAATTAAGAGGGAGGGGGCTCATTTGGGCAACATCGTTCCTTGGGGCCTGATGCTGGTTAATTTAAGGCTTATAGCTAATAGGTCTTATCACCTTCTATGACACAGAATTGGCCCGAGGCCCAGACCAAGAGCATTTAATTGGATGAATGATTTTTAATTCTGAAGATAAAATGTATGAAAGGATTGAAAGAATGGGCCTGTTATGTTCATCTCCCCTGGCATCTTTGGTAAATTTAATCGCTCCCTTCCTCCCCACACTGGCAGAATGAAGCATGCAGTCTCGTGCAGGATTTCAATATAAGAAAAGTTTCAGGCTATTATAATCACTATGTTCCATGACTCAGACTCCAGGAAAAGTTCATGTAACATTATCTGGGAGCCACCAGATGTCGTACATACATTGTTCATTATTTCATTTCTCCAAGTATATGTAGTAAGCACTGGAAAGGGAAAAAAAGTTACTTCGGCTGTTAAAATGTTAAGAGGATTCTACCTAGAACAATGCTGATTTCACTGGTAAAATTTCCTTCCTCTATCTTTGCCCACATAGTTTATAAAAGAACTTCTACTTTCATGGTAAGCATGGCAACATGAAACATGAAACAATTATTTTTTATGACTATCAATCCAGTTTCCCTGCACACTAATTAAAAATGTTCCTTTTCAAGCTGACTCCTTGTTTATTTATCATTTATTCAATGTACAACTCCTGATGGTTTCTATTTAAATACCAATTGCTAGATGCTGGGAAGACTGAGCTAAATAAGGCTTTTCCTGTCCTCAAGGGCCATACCGTCCAATCAGGGAGTTACTGAAGTAAATTGACTAAAAGAACACTGGCAAGGACAGGTCTCATGTTAGCCTCTCTGGAGGCAGGTACTGAAATGGAGTTTGGAATGCAAGATGTTTATTAGGGATGAAAATCTATGAAAGGGCAGTGAAGGAAACAGGATTGGGAAAAGGGAAAAGTCAAACTGATGTATGTGTGCCAAAGTCCTGGCCCACAAAATAGAGCATTCTGGAGCAAGAATTGCCCATCAGAGTGGTCCCATGTCAAGCTAGGTATTTAAATCTCTTAATTTCCTCAGTGGCCAAATGTGGGCTGCTAAGAGGACATGACCTTGGATAAGGTTGCTTACTGCAGTTGAAGCAGATTCTAGCTGTCAGCTGAAGGTTGTTTGATGACCACATTCTTGGTAAGCCTGAAAGCAAGTCCTTCCTTGTAGAGGGATAAGAGTAATGCATTTCTTCTTCTTTTTAAAGGACGCATTGCATGATCTTGTTTATATGAAATTTCCAGGAAAGGCAAAATTAGAGATCTAAGACAAAGCAGTATGGTGGTTTTTCTATAGTTGGGGATGGGTACAGAGGCTGGCTACAAAAGGATACAAAGGAATTTTTAGGGGATGGAATTGTAATGAAAGATTTCAATGATATCTACACAGTGATAAAAAGTTACTATAACTCAAGCTGTATGTGCAAGATGTGAATTTTATGGAATGTAAATTATACCTCAATAAAGTCACTTTTAAACTCATTAGTAAATTTTGATGTTATAGTTACTGCCCTGATTTTAAAGGAAAAGAATTCTTAAATTACACACTTAAAATTATACCTTAATTCATGTAGATTATATTTCAACAAAACTAAGTTCTTAAAAGAC